CTTGGCCTCAGTTCTTTTAATATAGGGAGGAGGCAAGAGAACTAAAATGTTAAATCAAGCTATTACTGGTTCTGGGGAGTCCTGGAACTCCTGGACCTTGGTTCTTGGCATCTGGTTGACAAAGACTTGAAGGCAGACTCCCAGAAATTAGTTGTATGCATGCTAACTTTATTAAAAGCAAAAGTACACTTTGAGAAGGGAAAATAGGCCACCAAGAGCGGCCAGCCTTGAAGACAAAGTATGCTCACTCTCAGAAAGTAGAGCAAGCTGCTTAAGTGGTCAGGCCCAAAGACTTCTGCCAAGTGAAAATCCACCCTCAAATGGGAAAGTGGGTAGGCTCAAGGGAGAACTCCCCCATCCGTGGTGGGTTTGGGGATTTTATCCATTAACCTAACTAAGGGGTGGAATATTCATTATTTTTAGTAGTCGCTTCATAGAAAAAAGGTTTTTTATTTTTTACTTTTTCCAGAATTAAGTAGATGCCCCTTTTCTTGCCGTGTTTGGGCTTTTAGGAACTGTCATGGTGTCAGATGCATGATGAGTACAGCCATAATCACAATGCTAATTTATTATAATGATAGTATAATAAAGCAAAGGTGAATTCTAGGTCACACCAGTTGTCCTTCTGTGCATGCCTATGTTGAGGACTTTTCCTATCCCTTTTATTTTCCACTCGAGTAGGAAGTTTTAAACTACAAAACTGTGCTGTTTTTCATTTTAGTGTTTCTGGGGAGGAGTCCTGATGTAATTCCTATCTCAAAGCTATAATCAGAGACTCCAATATGCTAACCAGCCATACCACCAAGGAAATCTACAGAACAAAGGAAAATTTCTGCTGAGATTGCTAACAAACTACTCACACCATGAAGGGGAAACAGGAAAATAGAGTCCTTAAGTGGCACCCTACACAAAATAAAATCATTCATTACCTATGGTAAAACCATGGGGAACCTATGGATCAAAGGCTGGGAATTGCCAGCAGGCCTCTCTCTCTACACATTCTTACCTTTTCTTGCTACATACTTTCATCCTTTCACAGTCCACATCCATAAAATCAAAAGAAAATGGGTAAACAAAGTCTGTAAACTATAATTCATAGAAACTAAGAATGGTATATGAACTGAATTCCCTGAACACTCGGGGTCCCTCTCATTGTCTTTTTCTCAGTCCCTCTCAGTGTCTTTTCTCTGTTCCTCCCAAGGTCACTGTCTCTGCCTCTCTCTGTGTGTCCCTTTGAGTCTCAGTCTCTCTCACTCTCTGCCTCTGAGAGGAGACCATGCTCTGTCTATGGAGAATTACTCCTTCTCTAATAAACTTTCCTTTGACTCTAACTCTGGAAGTTTGCCCTGTCCTGCATAACTTTTCATATTGATTCATGCTTTATAAATTATTTACACTCATACAGACAAACATACAGTCATTCACTTATGTGGTCTATTTTATTTACTTGCATTCTTTCTTTTGAAGTTTAGGAAAGTTTATATTTTTGTCCTAAGGTTACCTTTAGAATAATGCTTTTATATAATAACCTTAATCTCTTCTTCTTTTGGATATGCCTATCAGTTACCTATTATAAACAATACTGGCATTAGCTAGTAATCTTTTTCCTTCCCTCCTATTCCTTCAGCATCTAATTTGAAATAACTTTTTTCTTATAATTAACTCAAATAGGGATATCAGTTAGCTGTTTTTATTTTCATATGCTCTTCATTTTATCTCCACATTTTTGATAGTAGTAAAAATACTTATAGTTTTTTGATAATTATGTTGTTTCTACAATGCAGAGCAGATAAGCATTGCATAATGTACACCACCTTTATTACAATCATTTAGTCATAGTACTGGAGATAAATACATAATCAAGACCTCTCAAGTATAGAAGTCAAAACTCAATTTCCCAGGTTCCCTTACAGCCAAGACACAAGCAAGTGACTAAAAATTTTGCCAATACGCATTTTGATTCCGAAGTGAGTAATGTTATGAAGCACGCTGTGCTTGGAGCTGTCATTTGTGCTGGAATAGCTCCTCGACTGGGGCATGCAGTTTCCAAAGATGGTGGTGGGAGAGGAGCAGTTTCCCAAAGACTGTTAAGTCATGTTCCTGATGCAGAAGTGGTGTTGGTGTTGGTAGCAGTAGTAGCTGCAGTAAAATATAACTTCCAGTGTTTGTGTTTTGTAGCTATGACATCAGTGGTAAGAGGTTCCTAATCAAGCCAATTTTCCAGCTTGGTTTTGGGACTCTAGCTTTGATATTATTTCTCCAGGCTTCCTAACATTATTGTGAACTTCCTAAAATCCTGTAATATATTCTTACTCTGCTTAATTTAATCAGAGTAGATCTGTCATTTGTATCCAAAAGCCCTAGTAATACCTGGAGGCTGCACATCTCCCATTGTTGTTGTGAATGATATAACTTATGCCAAAGTATTTAACATACAATAGTACTTAGCAAGTCTTAGTTTCCTTCTGGGTTCTCTGAGGAGGCAAATAATAGGTACAAAGGCAGCCACACTAGATCATGTTGAAGTTCCTGAAACGAATCTGCATTCATTAAAGATACATTCATTTTCCTTTGGGCACTAAATATCAAAATCCCCAATGTTTCTTGGAATCTTTTTAGAGAGCAAAGGTAATAAGCTTTACATGCAGGACGGACTGTATAAGTCATGTGGGCCAATGCAAAATGAAAATGCAGGACCCCTTTCCAAAAACTGTTAAGAATTTTAAGATGGTGACATCAGAGCATTAATTAAGCATAGGGCCTTTCTAAGTATTTCTACATGAAGCACTTCTAATCCTCTTTCTCATCTGATTGGATTAAAAGTAGAGACTATGACAGGGACAACTAGACCCCTATCTCCATGGCCATCCTTAAATTCTATTCAAAACAAGCAAACCACTATACTTATACACCACAGCTGGCCACAACAAAGGCCCTTCTAACCAACAATACAAAATTGCATTAGTAGTGCACTTACAATACAAAAGTACAAAATTACATCAGTTGTTAAAAATACATGTCCACTTTAAGGTAAAAGTATATAAAAATACATGTTTGCTTTAAGGCAAAAGTGAAATACATGTTACTTTAAATATTGAAAGACAGAATGTCAGTTCCAAAAGAAACCAGAGAGTATATTTAATCCAAGCGCATTGGGTTATAGTTGGGGAAATTGAGTCCCAATAAGGTTAACTGCTTGCCTAAGGTGACACAACTAGTTACTGTTGAGCAGAGACTAGAACCTCTGGCTCCTGAAATATAGTTTAAATCTGCCTCTTTTTATGTGACACAACCTCCTTTCCTTTTCATGTCAGAAGTGCTGCTGTGGTCAATTTGCTTCCCCAGTCATGAACATCCACAACAAAAGTAAGAATGCCAGAGAAGAAAAGGAAAGCCAGGGTTAAAAATTTTCAAGACTTGAAGAGAAGAAAGAAGCTTAAAACTACAGTAAAACAAGCCAAACTTTTTCTCATTTTTTAAGGAAATTTTTATAAGCATTTATTTGAGCCAAACTGACAACGTATGACAAAGAACAAGATCACGAATGCTCCAGAGAATAAGTTTTGCAGCTTAAAAAACTTTCTTTTTAATTACAAAATCTATCTGCAATAATTCAAATCAAAGAGCATAAATTGAAAAGTGATATTTCACCCATTTATCCAATCTTACTCTCCAAAAGTTATCACTTTTATCATTTGAGTGAATATCTATTCATATATTTTATATTGGAACTGAAATCTCAGTTTCGGTCATTTAGGTCAAGACTTATTTTAAACATACCACCTACTGGAATTAGATAACTGTGAAATTTTTTTAAATGTCTTATTATAAGCAATAACTGTACCTAAAAAAATGAAATTAGATATCTAAATTCTATCAGGATTGCCCTTTTAGAAGTAGTGAAATAGTTATTCGATTCTCCATGTATGGAAAATAAACATAATTAATGCACAATCCACTTATACTGAAATTTTCTTTGTATTTTGTTTACGGTGATTTGATCAAGTTTCCTTACATTTACTTCTGCTGCCAGTGTTAATTCATTAAGTATTCTGGGGTAGGAAAAGTGTCATAGTGGCCTCATTCCCCACTAAATTTCAATATTTCTGATTTAGTGATGAACTACTTGTATTTCTTTTCCATTTCTCTCAGATCAATACATATTTCGTTTATTTATTCTTCAATGTGGAAATTTTTTTTTCAGAAATCTTTTGAAAATAGTCGAGGCTTCAATATATACTAACCATTTTTTACTTTGAAGATGTAAGAATACAGCAACTTAGGAGGAAATCATTATGTGCATTGCTTACATACATATCAACAGCTATATAAATCATATCAGTACTTTTATCTTTTCCGTTGCTAATGAAGATTCTTAAAACTATTAATGGCTGATTTCCTTGGGCTATGAGAATTGCTTGATACTAACAAACATACCCAGTGCTCTATATAAATAATCTTTAAATTTTATTCTATTGCTACTATTGAGCTGTAGATTTACCGAAGAAAAATTAGTCTTTCCAATTCACCATTACAACAGTTAAAATCCCCATGAATAACGCTATATGTTGGAAACTCAGATTTTTAACTCTTTACTATTCAATTCGATCGTTCAAACTCACAGAGTCCGGAGGCAAACTAAGGTAAATTTCGGTTCCAATTATGTATGAAAAGTCTCAGCATGTCAAATTAGTTGACCAGTTAACTCTGGCAGCCAGACCAATAGCCTGCGGTTTAGAAGTTGGCATATTCAGTCTACTGCAGCAACCAAAGCCTGGTCCTCCCAGTGTGTCCTCAAGAACTCTTAAGACCTCGGACCGCTGAGGTTTGCCATCGCCTCTCCATCTGCCTCACACCACGCCCCTTCCCTTCCCTTGGCCCCGCCTTCTGCACGCATGCGCGTATTCCACGCCCCCCGCTCTGTTCAGCCAACAGCCGGAGACGTTTGTGGGGACTTCCCTCTCCGCCAATGCAGGAGGTCCTTGCTGTCTGGGTTCCGCCCCTGCCGGGAGCTCAGGCCGGAAGATGGCGGCGGCGGCGACTACGGAGTTGATGTTGCTGGAGAAGTCTCTGGGACTGAGCAAAGGGAACAAATACAGCGCTCAGGGCGAGCGCCAGGTGAGAAGTGGAGGAGGCGCGGTGGGGAAGAGGTGAACTGGAGCGGGGCCTGCTGAGCCCAGTTAGGACGAGCTGGCAGGCAAAGGCAGACGGAGTGAGGCTGCTACCCCTCTCCTCCCCACGTGTCTGCGCCGCCCGGCGGGCAGGCGCCTCTGGGACTCTTCCTGCAGCCCTAGCTCGCGGAAAGGGGAAGGGAAACCTGCTCCGATAGGGCTCGGCCTGAACTTTTCCTTCTGGTAAATTGTCATCATCCTTTTCTGGGAAAGCGAGGAGGGTCTTCAAAGGGCCTATAGATCGACCGAACTGGAGGTCCTGCATTTGCATTCAGTGACAGCATTTACTATAACAGTACCATTCATTCAGTATTACGCAACTACTCCAGGGCTAGCAGGGTGCCAAGTAGTACTGTGCTGGGCCTGGGGAATTCAACGGTGATAGTTACGGCTGACAAGCTCCCTCTCCTCAGGAAGCTTGCTTTTTTTTTAGCTGGGTGAATAAACATTGCAGCTAATTTCATTATAATACTAAAACGTGGTACATTGAAATGTAGAAGATACAGCGTACATTAGAGGTTTTGGTCCAGTCTCAAACACTCAGGGCAGGCTTTTCTAAGGCCTTATGATATCAACTCATTGTGCAACAGCAGAGAATGAGGGGGCAAAGTTAAGCTATGAGATTGACTGGTGAGGTATAAGGACCCAGGTTTCTCAGGGCACTGAAGGGCATTAGATCGTTGTTTGCGGTAGAAGAAATATATTAGAGGAGGGAAATGATTGTAGGAAGATAATTTTGGATCTACAGTCATGTGTTGCTTAATGATGGGGCTGCCTTCAGAGAAGTGCGTGATTCAGCGATTTGGTCCTTGTGAGAACATTATAGAGTGGCATTTACACAAACCTAGATGGCATAGCCTACTACATACCTAGGCTACACAGTTTGGCCTATTGCTCCTTGGCTACAAACCTGTACAGCATGTTACTGTACTGAATACTGTAGGCAGTTGTAACACAATGGTATTCGTCTTTCTAAACATAGAAACAGTACAGTAAAAATATGGTATAAAACAAAAAATGGTAGACTTGTATAGGGCACTTACACAAATGGAGCTTGCAGGACTGGAAGTTGCTCTGGGTGAGTCAGTGAGTGAGTGGTGAGTGACTGCGAAGGCCTAGGATATTACTGTATACTGCTGTAGACTATAAACACTGTACACTTAGGCTACATTAAATTTATTTAAAAATTTTTTCTTCAATAATAGACTTTAGCTTACTGTGACTTTTTTTCTTTATAAACTAAATTTTTAAAAACTTTGACTTTTATAATACTTAGCTTAAAACACAAACACATTGTACAGCTATACAAAAATATTTTTTCTTTATTATTCTATAAGATTTTTTCTGTTTTTAAAAGTGGTGGGTTTTTTTTTTAGTTTTGTTTACTTTTTAAACTTTTTTTGTTAAAAACTAAGATGCAAACACACACATTAACCTAGGCCTACACGGGGTGACGAGGTGAGGATTATCAGTATATCTTCTCCCTACACATCTGTCCCACTGGAAAGTTTTTAGGGGCAATAACATGTATTGAGCTGTCATCTCCTATGATAATGATGCTTACTTGTGGAATATTTTATGAAAGACCTTGCCTGAGGCTCTTCTTGAGGTGACATTCTTTTCAGAAATTTGTCCATGGTTGTTTGCTTAGTTTGTTTCTATTTTTCATAATAGATTTGCTTGTAAGCAGATAATGCACCATAACATTCCTCTCTATTAATGACAGCTATGATGTCACTGGGTGATAAGAATTAGTTACTTCCTTTCACTTTAAGGAGAACCTTTGACTCTAGCCATAAAATGTTAATCGCCCCATGCAGTTCAGAGTCCTGTTGACCTAGATGTGAATATGAAAATGCCCTGGAAAGTGTAAATCACTAGAAAGTATAAGATACCATTTCATGGCTGAAAAGAGCAGCAGTCTTCCCAAGAATGTATTTTTTTTTGTTTTGCATAGGTAATTTAGATTGTATACTTTTATTTATAATGGTTAGTCTCCCCATTGGATACTTTCCATTTTCTTTTAAATTTTTCATAGTGCTTCACTTAGTTGTGCATCAAGAACATTTAAATTAATCAGCAATTTCTTATGATCTAACCCTTTGTATTGTCATTACCATAGGAGAAACATAAAAAGTAGGATTATTTTTCAGATGATTACACAAAGCCCAGACTTTAATATCAGTCGCCCCAGTTACATTGTGAATTTTTTTTTAAATATAAAATACTAGCTAACATTTATAGTGACCTCACTCTAAATGGCTGCAAAATTGATGAATATGTAATCCATGGCAACCAAGTCACCATCACAATCCACAGCTAGTTAATGAGACAGCTAATTATATTAAATCACATATCACTAAAACCAGCCTAGGTCCCATTTGGTGGTTCTAACTATATCAGATGAACTCAGTGTACTATATCTTTCTCATTTTTGTTATTATAGAAGTCAGGTTTATTTAAGCATGTTCACCTTGCTAAAATAGGGTATGGGTAAATTTGATTGAAATTAATGCAGTATTAGGATTTTCATTTCCTCTTTTTGTAGATGCACAGTTATCAATTATATAGAAACATTATACTGATTTTTGCAATGTTACCAGTTTCAGCATCAAGCATCTGTTAGCAAATGTAAATTATATAACTGCTATTTTCCTGATTTTCATTTACATAATTTAGTATGTAACCTAGTATCTTAGAGTAAAATCTTAGAGATTTGAAAAAACATTGAGGGATTTAGCTATTACTTAGAACTTACAGTTGTGATAGTATTTGTTTTTAAAATTTACCTGAAGAACTTTTGTTTTCATTTTAAGATTCCAGTTCTTCAAACAAACAATGGTCCAAGTCTAACAGGATTGACTACTATAGCAGCTCATCTAGTCAAGCAAGCTAACAAAGAATATTTGCTTGGGAGCACTGCAGAAGAAAAAGCAATAGTTCAACAATGGTTAGAATACAGAGTAACACGAGTAGATGGATACTCCGATAAAGATGATATCCGCATCCTATTGAAGGTATCGTGACTTCACTTCATAGGCTAAATGCATGGACTGTTAATAGCAGAAATCTGTTTCCCCTGAGATTCAGTAGCTGAAGCTATTAGCCTTCTTGTTTCCTTCTGCCTCAGGGTAGTTTGTACTTGTTATTACCTTTGCCTGGAAGAGATTCTGCCAGCCCTCTCCCTTGAGATCTCAGCTCAGATACCCCTTCCCCAGAAATGTCTTGGACTACCTCTCTCTCAAACAGATGTGGTTCCTTGTTCTATATGCTTTTCCTTCATAGTACAATACCCTGTGCTTTTCCTTTTTAACACTCTTCATAGTCAATAACTATAGCTTTGTATGAGAGTACAATCCTGTGCTTTTCCTTTTTAACACTCTTCATAGTCAATAACTATAGCTTTGTATGATTTTTATTATGTGGCAACTTAATATTTATTTTCCCACTCAGCAATCCTGATTCTCTAAGCAATAAATTACTTTCTCAAAGGCAAAGGGGGAATCAGAATTTTCAGGGACTGTAGTTTGAAAAAAAAAAACTGTCAGATTGATCTGAGAAAGCCCACAATTCCCTCCCTTGAGACTTAATGCTTTAGAATATATATTTTCTTTCCAGAGAAGTCAAATTAGAATAAAAGAATCTATCGCTATAAAATATACTTCATATGGCTTCAGAGTCACATTGCAACTGAAATTATTTTTGTTAATAATTTTTTTAAAATAATGCAATTTTTAAAAAATTTTTTTAAAGCTTTAAATTTGAAGGAACCTTAGAGATCAGTCAACCACATATCATTGCTGGTACCTCATCTGTTTCCTAATTTTATTCTCATTATCGTATAAATTGATAATATAAGTTGTACAAGAAAATCTTATAGTACTGAAAGATTTTCATTTACCTCTCTGGGGAACATGATTGAAACTATATTCTTGATATATACCATCAAGAGAACTGGTGGAAAATAAATTTCAGACCTTGGTCCTTTATGGTCTGTCATGCTAACTATGCATTCTTAATATCAATACTGACTCTTCCCTCTGCCCCCTGCCATGTTCAGCAGCATTTCCAGAGGGAAGCAAACATGTCTTCCCTCTAAGTGAATGTGGGATTTCAAACAAATAAAAAATGAACGTAACTATCTCTCTTACAGTTTTCCAAAAGAAAGGATACTAATAAAGTACTTAATTCTGCAAGATAGGAATAGGATTTCATTAAATTGGGTTTATAAGTTCAAAGTTGTATTCATAGATTTGGTATTAGGCACATGAAATTCTCAAAACATTGTATCTGGGATATGTAAATATTATTATCTGAAATTTTGATTGGGACAGCCTGACTGGAACTATTATTATTTTTGAATGTATGAGGAACTGGGTGATACGGGTTGTGGTCCTTGCTCTGTCACAGTTTGCTCATCTGTACCTAAAATGATATGTCAGATATAGGAGCTAGTGATAACAGTGACCCATTAGACACAGCCCCTGCCTTTACAGAACTCGTACCAGTGGGAGAAGCAAATATATGGATAATGAACTGCAATGTGATTTTTGGCCATATGAGCACTGATGAGAAAGTTCTTTTCTATGCAACTTTGCTTTTGCTATTTTATGGTAGCGTATTTTAATCGTAAAGGCAACATATATTATAGAAATTTAGGAACTATAAGCAAGTAAATTTCAAACACTTCTAATCCCATCATCAAGAGAGAACACTTATGTTCAGTTATGAAATATTTATTGAACCCCTTTTGTGTTCTTTCCATGCTTTTTCTTTTCATATATACATGTGTGTTTTCTTTTTAAAATGTGCAGTTATTGGACACTAACTTATTTTGTTCACTGACAGTATGTTGTGAACAAATCCATAAATATTCACTTTTCATGTCCATAAATATTCACTTTTACTATCTTGATTAATCTGTTAGTATTCCATCATATGGTTGTACTAGAATTTAAATAGTCTATCCCCATGTATTTACTAGATTGTTGCTAAATATTTTAACCCATTCGCATTTGTTTCCTTAGGCTAAATTCCTGCAGGGGAAATTGCTAGGACAAAACTAGGTACATTTTTAAAGCTATGTTGCTCATTTGCCCTCCAGAAAAGTGTATTATTATAGTTTGGCAGTATATGAGAGCGGCCTCTTCACAAAACCCTTGCTAACGTGAATATTACCCTTTTCTTCTTTTACCACCCCAATTTCATTACCAAAACAAATGAACCAAAATTGATTTGTTTACTTTGTGTTTTCTTAAAAGTATTAATGCTGTGGCATTTGTTCCATAATGTTTATGACCATTTTCATTATTTTAAAAAATTTGCTTATACATATTCTTTGCCCATTTAAACTAGGCTGTTTATCTTTTTATTGTTTATTTTTAAAGCTCTTGCTATTAAGGTGTTATGAAAGGGTTTAATTCTTACTCTGTAAAGTTCCATTTCAGTGCTTAAACCATGAATCTAAGTTTAAATGGCATATAAGTAAGGTAATATGTACTTTTAAAAAGCAGGCCTTGCAAAACGCTAACATTTGTTGAATCTAGATGGAAGAGATACAGTTGTTTATTATACTGCTTTTCCAAATTATTAGATAGGAAGGAAAAAAATCAGGTGGAACTCTTTTTTTAAAGTTTGGCAATGACATCAAAAAGACTTGTAAAAAAAAAAAGGAAATGAATATCAGAAATTAGTATCACTAATCAGAAGAGTATTACCTAATCATAGCTTTTTATCTTCATTTATGAGACTGTAACCTTGAGTCTGTATAACTAAAACATAGATATAAATTCTGTTTTAAGAATATATACATTATACAAAACAGTTAAATTATTGTTTCAGATGCTATTTTAAAATGCTTCTTAAAACTAAATGAAAGTATATTTATTTTATTCTTATACTTTATCAAAGTCGTTTCATTTGAAGACATTTAAAGAGAAACCATCCACATTTAACAGATTACTATAAAATTTAAATGGTAGCTCCTCATATATTTTACCCTCTCTACCCAAATTTTATTTTGATTCTTCTGAATTTGTCTCATTTATGCCCACATTCATTTATGCTCTCATCTATACCACCCCTAGCAGTCTATATTCATATGCCATTTTGAAAATTAACTGTCTTTAAATGAAAATGTGGGCAAATTAAAAGAGATTGAATTCAGTTCAACAAACATTTACTAATTACTAAATCACTGTGTGCCAAACACTTGGGATGTGATTTGAGAAAACAAATGCTCTCGCTACAGTTTAAAGAATTTTTCCAGAATAAATGCTATTGATTACTGGGCAGTGTTTTATAACTCATCTTTAGAGGACCCTGTGAGAAATCTGATAATACTTCATATAACCTATTGATAAACCTTTCTTAAAGGTATATGAATCTTTTGTCTTATTTAATTTAAATGTAATTTAACGTAAATTCCTGTGCTGTTAAATTATATGTTAATTTTGAGAGGGACCAAAAGTATTCATGTAATATTTTTTTATCTAGGTTTTTTTTCTCTTCTCAGGAAACTAATTGATTTATTCATTCTGATCTGTCAGAAAATACTTCCAATTTAGATTAGGACGTTTTAATATTTTTGTGTCATTTTTTAACTTGTACTTTAAATATTTCTTCAAAAGTGCCTATTGGCCATTTAAAGAGGTCATTGCTTATTAGTATTTTTTTGGTAATGATTTTAAATGAATTATTTTTGTATAGTCTTAACCTTTTAAAATTGGTAGTAACAGACTGGAGAACAAATGACAGTAAGCTTACTATAGCTTTAAACAGTGTTTAGAACTGGAGTCTTTGTAAGGTATGGAGAAAACTAGATAGCCAATTGCAAAAGAATGAAGCTGGACCTTTATCTTATACAATATATAAAAATTAATTCAAAATGAATCAAAATCTGAAACATAAGACCTAAAACTGTAAAACTCTTAGAAGAAAACATAGGGGAAAATATTGCATCATTTGTTTTGACAATGATTTCTTAGATATGATACTAAAAGCACAGGCATCAAAATTGGACTGTGTCAAAATTTAAAACTTCTGTTATTAACAGAATGAAGAGGCAACCCATAGAATGGGAGAAAATATTTGCAAATCATATATATGATAAAGGGTTAATCTCCAGAATATATAAAGAACTACAGCTCAACAACAAAAAAAACCTAAGAACTCAATTTAAAAAATGAACAAAGGACTTGAGTAGACATTTTCCTAGAGAAGATACACAAAGCTCACAAGCATATGAAAAGATGTTCAACATTACTAATGTAAATCAAAACTATCAAAGAAACAGAAAATAAATGTTGACAAGGGTATACAGAAATGAGAAACCTTGTACACTTTTGGTAAAATTGTATAGCTGCTATGACAAACAATATGGTGATTTAAATAGAATTACCAAAAGGTCCACTAATTCCACTTACAGATACATACCCAGAGAATTCAGACAGTTTCTCAAACAGATACTGTACACTCATGTTCATAGCGATATTATTCACAATAGCTGAGAGGTGAAAACAACTCAAGTGTCCATGGACAGATGAATGAATAAACAAAATGTGGTGTGTATATATATATATATACACACAATGGAATAGCCTTAAAAAGGAAGGCAATTCTGAAGCATGCTACAACATGGATGAACCTTAGGGATACTATGCAAAGTGAAATAAGCTAGTTTCAAAAAGACAAATACTCTATGATCCATCCCACTTATATGTAGTATAAAGTAGTTAAATTCCTAGAAATAGCAGAATGGTAGTTGCCAGGACCTGGGGTAGGGGAAATGGGGAGTTGTTTAATAGGTATAGAGTTTTAGTTTTGCAAGATGAAAAATTTCTGAAGATTGTTTGCACAAGACTATGAATACCCTTAATACTTACTGGTTAAGATAGTAAATTTTATGTTACATATATTCTGTTGCAATTAAAAATGTTTATACATATATAAAAAATGCAACAAACCAATAAATTATAATTCTCTTAAGAAATAGAAATTGTTGAGATTTTTATATTTTAATGGAAAAAAGTAAATCTAACATGGTTTGATTTACAAAATGTTCCCCCACAAATAAAAATTAGAAATCCAAACTGATCACTTGAAATATCATTTTTAATGTTTCCTTATTTCTTTAAAATAAAATAAGACTAATAATGTTTACCCTATTTTTTTAAAAGAGGTGATTGGTATGGTTTGTGATTTTGAATGAATCTGAATTTATTAGTATCAAAGATTAAATTTATTAAATGTCAATCCTCTGATTTCTAATAGACTTCTAAATGTTTAAGGTCAAATGATAATGGTAATTAACTTTATTGTTACTGTTTTTAAATTAATATTTCATTTATTTTTTTATAGGATCTTAATTCATATCTTGAAGATAAAGTCTACCTTACAGGATATAACTTTACCTTAGCAGATATCCTGTTATACTATGGACTTCATCGCTTTATAGTGAGTATTTGAATAGTTATTGGCGTCTTTTCTAATGTTTAGATGATTTTTTTGTCTTGAATTTAAATCAAATTTCAGTTTTCAATTTATCAAATAAAAATGAAAGGAATAATTTTGATATAAGGTACCTTATGTAAATATTCCTTTTATGTATCCGTCAAACATAGTAGCTTCTTGTTCCTCAACTTGCTTGATTCCTATTCTTGTTTCTGCTCTATGCAGCTACTTCTCTGATCACCCTTTAGACCTGATCGTCATCATCACCTGGACCCTGTGGTCACCATTTGGCTCCATCTTTACATCTTAATTCTAGTACCCCATCTTCTGTGTGACATCTTATCCTTAGCTCTTAAGCTCTTACTTCCTAATGCCATTATTACTGAAGTAACTATTCCTTCCCTTTTTCCTAACTTACTACTTTCTTCCCATTAAATCTAGATCCCCTTTTGTATAACTTCAACTATATCCTCTTATTATGGCATCTTCAGCTTCTTTCTTCAACTGTACATTCAGCTCACTTTCCCTATAAATCTCCAACTTTTATTCCAAATAAATGCCTTCAGTCCTATATCCAAGCTTAATGCTGTTGGAGAAATTAAAAAACTACTGGTTGTTACCACTATTCCAATTTCAGCCGAGCTTTCATACTGATCTGCTCTTTCATCCCTTCCAGGCATAATTCTAGACTGTTAGCATTTTCTTCAAGTACTACCCTTTTACCTTCCCATTTATCTTCAGTCCTTATCACAGAACCTTCTTCCCTTATTCCACCAGAAAATGGAGGCTGTAGTTTAAATACCCTCATCTTTCAGCCCTGCCTACTGGCACATCTTCATCCATCTTGTCTCCTGCTCTGACTTCAGAAAGAATCATCTTGCTTTTTTCCGAGGCTAATCCATTCATCTGGCCTCTTTTCCCCTCCTCCCCTGCCCACATCCTGCCCCCTTTCTGGATCTTGTCCCAAATTTTATATCCTTTCTCATATCTTCGATTTTTCCCTCTCTGGTCAATCTCTTTAAATTGTTTCCCATCTTAAGTTTATTTACGAACAATTGTAAGCACTCACTATGTTCTGTTGACACTATTCTGTGTACATTATAAATGTTAACTCATTTAATCTTTGTAACAGCCCTGTGAGAAGGGTACTGTTATCCTTATTTTATAGATGAAGTAGCAGGCACTGAGAGGTCAGATGTCTCCTTTGAGATCACGCAAGTCAGTGGCAAAACCAGGTCTGGAAACCAGGCAGTTTGGGTTAGAGTTTGTACTTTTTTATGTGTCTTTCTGCCTGAAACCTCCCAAAACCCATCTTCTCCCTGCAGAAAAAAAAGAACTCACATTTTTCTACATTCTTCACCTCATGCATTCAGTCAGTCAGAACGTTTCCACCTGTGTATGCCTCTTTCATGTGTCTCTTTTTATGATCCTGGGTGACATTGCCTAATTCCAGAATTCGTTTTCTTTTGTCTGGGCTATTAAAATGGCTTCCTGCCATCAGTCTCATCTCTTACAGTTGATTGCCACTGAGGCAGTTTTTCTCATGAATGTGCCTTTTCCCCCCCCTCAAAATAATTAAGTAGTTCCTCGCTCTCTAAGTTGGAAGATCCTTCTTCATGTGACCCCGCCTCCTTTTTGAGCCGCATCATCATCACTCTCCCCACATGCCTCTCAGCCATAGCATACTCCTGGAGTCTCTTCAAACTTTTCTCTTTCGACTCAGTGTCCTTGCACTGCTCTTCTCTTTTGCTCGTTGGCCCGGCCCTTATCTTGCTCCCAAATTCATTTCTATTTCATCAAATATCCCTCAGTTCCAGCACTAATTTTCTGGTGAGGCCCTCTAAAGCTCCTAAAGCATATTCAAGTGTTCTTTACTCCATTTCTTTTTATACCTCACAGACCACCTGAGTTCTGGCTTGTTTTATTTTGCTTGGAAAATTTCTCTATCATTTAAATTTATAAACTATTTGAGTCAGAGATTGTAACAATTCATATTTGTAATCCTATTGTCTGACATAATTCCTGGCACGTGAATATAGTCTGCCCTCCCCTCCCGAGACATCAAACAATATAATTCACATATTTCTTATGTTTTTCAAAGTTTTATATGTATTTTCTCATTGTATCTCCTAACTCGGAGGAGATAAGACTAGTGATACTGTCTTCTTATAGAGAAGGAAACTAATGCTTGGGAACATTGAGTACTTTATGCAGAGAGACAGAGCTGAGGTTTTGGAATGGCCAAGAAAAACTCAGTTTTCTGACTCAAGCGTCATACTGTGTGGGGAAGCCCTTCGTAAACGAAAATGCCATAATAATATGTATGCCATAGTATGATAATTGTTCTTTGTCCCCCACTCAAGCTATAATTTCTGGATTTGGATTTACTTCACTTATTAAGAATTATTTCTCTAAGATCTTTAAGCAATTGAGTTAAGTTCTATAACATCGTTATTGTAATGGCCTACTATGATCCTTAATTCAGCATAGTACTCTATTATTACAAGTTTACTTAATAAGAACTTACTGTATGTGTCCATTATACTATACTTGTGGAACCTAAAAGAAGTATAAAACTATTTTCAAGCAACTTTTGATTTCTTTGAAGAGATAAGACTTTTACATGAAAACAGTTAGTGAATAAGAAAAAATGGCATCTCATGCTAATTTCTGATCAGAATATTATGTGATCATTTAAAGAGGCATATAGAGAAAAGTAGAATGTAGAATCATGAAATTGTCAGAAAAAGATCTGCTAAATTTGAATGGCTTTGGCTGTCCAAGGGAATTTTTATTGTTTTGGACAACCTACGACAAGTTTGACTATAAATATTGCTTATAAGTACTACGACATGTGATTTATCATCCAAACAACATTTTTGTCAGTGAAGGAAGGGCTTTTAAGAATTTCACTGGTACAACAAGAAAAAAGTGGGGTGAATGTTCCCCATACTTAAAAGGAATTTTAATCAAAATAAGAAGATTTAGGAGAGGATCATGTCAATCTCTTCCTCTATATTTTCTATTTTAAGTTGCGTGTCTTTATAGTAAAAGTATAATCTTTGGCTATATACTTCAATATACTTAAATCTAAAGTAAGCATATTTGAATGTGAAAATGGTTTAAGTAGAGCTGACATACTTTGATCGCATCAGCCTCTTTTTATTCCATTCTAGATTCAAAATATTAGCTTTTTGAATGTAATATGGTGACATATCACAATTTACCTCATCTCAAAATGCAAAAAGCCTCCAAAGAGGATTTGCTACTAGGGTACTTTTCCCTCAGTGGCAGACCCTGGAGTCTTTCAACTTGGGGGAGTTCACAACTTGGTTTGAGTGAGACTATGCTGCTAAGAGCATGGCTACCTTATAGAAGGGAAAAATGATTTATATCTCAAAACAACAACACACTTGTTGACAATTTAAAAACATTTAAATGTGGCATTACTTAATTGTAAAGTTTAATGTTAGTGAAATGTGATCAAAGTTTAATGTTAGTGAAATGTGATCTCTAATCCTATGTGATGCCTGTCAGCAGGCTAATGAAGGCCTACCTATCAGGACCATCGCAAGTCTGGCTTCATTTAACATCAAGTTTTCATTAAGGTGTTTGGTTTTCAAGCAGGTTAAAAGAGTTTCATTCAATGCTGCATGTTAAAACTAGGGTTACACTGACATGATCTGTATCTATTTATAGTCCTTATTTTGGAATGTATATCCTTTTTATATGATATTATGATTTAGGATATTATGCTTATCTTTTTCAAAATATCAGTAAGTGGAATAATATATAACCACCCTATTAACCATCCTTTTGAGTATTCATAAAATGAGTTCATAACCAAAACATCTCTCCCACCCTGGTCCAAGTACAGGCAAAGTACATTGCATTGGAGGAATAAACACCTTATTAAGGAACAGGCCTCACAGAGTAAAATTCTGTACTGTGACAGAATTGTACTATGGTGTTAAATGGCATCCCTATTGAATTAGGTGTAAATATACCCAAATGAGAAAAAAGAAAAAAAGATTACTAGGTATTAAATTCGTGACAGTATACTATGGTGTTAAATGGCATCCCTATTGAATTAGGTGTAAATATACCCAAATGAGGAAAAAAAAAAAAAGATTACTAGGTATTAAATTCAGGCAGAGTAGATGTGAAGTTCAGATCAGCTACCTGCTCATATTCGTCAGTTACTCGTGCTTTGTTTGCTTTGTGGTATATTTATTTTTGCCTTTATTCCTTCATTTATTCGTTCACGTTATTAAATACTTAATAGGTAATCAGTGCAGTGTATAAAACAGCAGTCCGGGAACCTTCATGTCATCAAATAATCCCACTGTATTTTGTTTCAGCCTGAGCCCAATTTTAGTTGTGACCAAGTTACTCTGATTATAAGATCTGGTCTATCTTAATTCCCTTTGAGGACCATTATACTGTTCTTTCTTTGTTAAACTGCCAGTTAGTGTGGCTGTTTATTATCACACCAGTGACTCATTGCTTTCTTACAGTGATTTCACTAGTAGATAGCAGTCCCTATGAACAGACTGTTACTCAAGATTATTAAAATCCTTTGTAAAGTTATGTGCTGCCTGAGTTTAAGATCATTATCAACTGAAATCTGTTTGTTTTTGTTTTTTGGTTTTTTTTTTTTGAAGTTCAGAGCACCAATGGAGGTATGCCATTCTTTTAGAAAGAAAGAAAAAGTAAAAGAAAAAGCAGAGCAGTCCAGGACCACTAGCCATAAAGCATGTCCCAGAGGCAGCATGGTGCCAATTGGAAAGGTGGCAAACCATCATTTCACCCTTATCTGGAATGGGTCCCTTCAAGTGTTTCTCACATGTCTTCATGGAGAATTAGTCACTAAGAATATTATCTGTTTGGCTTTAAAGTTCAAACTAGTTATAGAGTGCCAATAGAAATAAAAAGGAATGATTAAGTAGAAAGAGCCAAGCATCACTGTTAGACACACTGGCATGTAGACCAATAAGAAGCAGGAAGTGGTAACTAGAACCATTGCATTATTTCCTGTTGTAAAAAAATAAAAGGGAAAAGAAAAACTAGTAAATAGAAAGGGATGATGAAAAACCAATGTGAGAAATAGTTGATGGGGCTCTTATCCAGAAAGTTCTAAAACAACTAAGTTTGGTGGGGAAAAAATCTGTTGTTTACAGTAAGTTCAGAAATAGAACATCAATGTCTACCAAAAATGTAGCAGAGGTAACAAGTCGAGATCAATCATAATTTTCTCAGACTCAAAGGGAAGCTCCAGACTTTAAACAAAAAGGTTAAGTGGTAACTTGATCATTTGGGAAAAGCTCTGTATTTGTAGCAAAGTTATCTGAGAAAATGAACAAATTACATTCTGTAAAATATAGATCATCTAGTTAAAAATTATTAGAATAAATTGGGAAGTGTTAATGAAGATTTAGGTCTTGGAATAAAAGTTATTTTGTACTGTGGGCCTGCCTGTTATAATCCTTAAACTAGAAACTAAATGTGAAAATGTTAAGTTAGAGAACATTTATTTTGCTGTGTGTTGTATTTTGTTATTATGTTGAATAATTATGTTGAATAATAGCCCTGGTAATGGCATATGCTGTCTCTCTGTGATAGCAAATGCTGTTGTGAAATGTAAATAGTAAACATACATTGCCCTTTTTGCCCTTTTTCAAAATCCGAGTGAGCAACTTGAACATATATCAAACAAGCTTTAGTACTTTATTGTTTGGAAATGCTTTCTTCTCAGGGCATTTTAATTCATTCTGAAAAATAATATCTCACAAAATGGCTGAGTAGAGACTTTTTTAAAAGAAAGAGTTCTAGAGAGACTAAATTGCAAGAAAGTGGTCAATTTGATCATGTATTTCAGGTACTAACATGAAATCAAGTTGGAGTAAAACCTGCTTTTCTATTTCCTTTAACTACCAGTAAAAAGATTTACTGAAATTGATTTTGAATTTTATCTATTTATTTAAGAGAACTCACCCTCATTTCCTGTCAGATTTGTAGCTATGTTTACCAGTGGTTGAGCTTTTAAAAAATCTTATTTTTTCCCCCGAAATCAGTGGTGAAGTTCACATGTGGTAAAGATTTAGAAAAAGAACCAAAAAGAGCTCTTTTATAAAATGTGTTTTGCGTTTTGAAATATAGACTGATATTTAATTTATTCCACAATGTTTTTTGAGTGCCTCCTATGTACAGCACACCAGACAGGAATAATGTAATTCTTTACATGTGAAACCATGAATTCTCTTTTAATAAAAAGTACTTTTTGCATAAAAAAGACATTCTTGACCAATTTTTTTGACACATTTGTTAATTTTGTATCTCTATGCCATGGACTAACTATATTGTAGGTGAAACAGTTATAGTAACATATATCTAATAACTAGACACAACTTTACATTACATCCTTTTAAACAAGATGAGTATATTTTTATAATATGCTATAGCAGCTTGTATGTGGGACTTAAGCCTGAAACTTAAATTTTTATATAATAGAAGCAGTGAGCCTCTCACTGCTAATAATTTTAAGTAAACTGGGCCAACAGGGATAAACATTTGAGACCACCAAAGATACTGTTAAAAGATCAGATATTGATAGAATAGTTTCCTAATGTCATAAAGGAAAAAAGGAACTCAGGATAACATATTAAATTTTCTTTTTAAATTGCCTCCTAGTAGAATGGAAGTATGAATTCACTTAAACATTTATTGAGAAAGTAGTGTCTACCTTTTCATTTTATTGTTAATGTTATTTTGTATTCTGTAATGTTGCATACTAAAGTGATTGGTCTTTCAGTTTTGTTCACAGTAACTTAGCAGAATATTTGGCTGTAGGCACAAGTATGTTTATGCTAAATTCTGAGCAGCCACAGGATATCCATCTCACTAAAAGTGCCTTCCAACAAGCAGATTGCTAATGTGTTTGAACTACAGGAAGGTGACTGAGATGTCTTTGTGTAAACATTTCTGTCAGTTTTATGGAGACTTTCAATATCCGGTAAATAAATGTTGAATTAACAACAGAAGAAAGAACTACACTACTCTTACATAGGTCATGGCTGTTAGTTACTGCACTGCTGGCTTTTTCTTTATCTGACAGCTCTTCATAATTCCAATCTAAGATTTGTCTTAGAGAAAAGTCTTTAAGTCATCTACTTTGGATTTTGAGCCCAGTAAAATGATTGGTACAACTATTTTTATTGCATCTTTTCTCTAACCAAATCTTTGGGCATACTTGTAGCCTGATAGTAAATTCTGTGAACTGGTTTATTCACTGAAGATAGAGTCTAGCTTTATTGCAAACAGAATTTAAGTCTGCTGTTTATCTGAGGCATTTACCACTGAAAATAGCCCTTTCTTCTTGTATTAAGCAATAATCACTTAAAATTAAATGGATCATTGTCTTCTTGAGTGAAGTTTTTCTGTAGAGTTTGATAGAAAGGAAGCAGTAGTCTGTCAGTCTATCTGTCTCTCTCTCTCTACACACACACACACACACACACACACACACACACACACACACACATTCATATATGAGTTTACATAGTATTCTTTTGTTAAATATGTTAGATGCCAATAAACCTTTCTTAAGTTTGCTGAAAAAAAAAAAACATGGAAGAACCGTATCTTAGTCTTTTGGAAGCTATTTTCTTCTTTTGTCCTATTTTCCTTTCTAATAAAGTAAAGAACTCTTTGGGCCTTCATTCTGGGTTAATGTAAAATTGGCATTTGTTGAAAACTTGAGATTTCCATAGAAAGCACATCTATGTTTTGAAGTGAACATAAAAGCATTAAATAAATGGATAGCTCTTCCAAGTGGCTGGATATTTTTACTCCTATCTAAATATATTGGCTTTGAGAACTGCTTTTTTCCCCCCATTTCTTTCTTCTACTCAGATGATATTAATAGTTGTGCTTATGTAATGTCTGTATTGTGTGTGTGTTTTTAATCTCTACTTAGGTTGACCTGACAGTTCAAGAAAAGGAGAAATATCTTAATGTATCGCGCTGGTTTTGTCACATTCAGCATTATCCTGGCATCAGGCAACATCTGTCTAGTGTTGTCTTCATCAAGAACAGACTATATACTAACTCCCACTAGAAGCTATCCATGCTGTACAGAAGAGAGATTTAAAATATTTTGAATGGAAAGTGTATTCTGGACCAGAGGACTAATGTAAATTGATATGCAGTCGTTCTTTATTTGCTGAAATTGATAGAATTTTTAAAGTATAAGCTTGTGTCTGAGTGTTTTGTTTGTTCTTTAGGTGAAATTTTGCAATTTTTAATGTAAAATTCAACCGCTGTGAAAACTTGAGTTAAGATCAAGTTATAAATTGTTTTTATAAGTGAAAATTATTTTAATAAAAGTTACAAATGATTGGCTTAATTTAAAAAAATAGTCCCTTTAGTGGTTGACCTATTTAGCTATTTATTCATCTCTCATTTTAAAGTTCATTTTCCCTTATGGATATTTACAGTAGTTTGTTTATTAAGATCTATAATAAATTGTGCAAAGGTTACAGAAAGGAAAGACAGATGGATTTGTTTTCAGATATTCATGTGAAGCAGTAAATGTGGTTGAAAAAAAATCTTTTTTGTTTCTTTCTTTCCTGTAGTCAGTATTCATTGAGGTGAAACTAACTACTTAAATGCCCTAGAGGGAACTAGAATAAGATATATTCCCTAGAGTTGATGGTTCTTTTGTTGTTGTTGGGTTTATTGGAATATGCAGTGGCTAAAATAAGATGGGAAATTCCTGCTATCCCACTGATTTTGGACTTAGTAACTACAGACTTTTTCTAAATTAAAAGCCAACTCTCATAGAAAGGCTACTATTGAAGTACTATAAAAAGAACAAAAAGACATTTTATTAACAGTTCTGTACAATATAACTCTTGCTGGCTGAATAAATAAGTAATCAATTATTAAGAGCTAAAGAATTTATATTTCCAAATAATAAGAAAAATAGAGTGTTCAAGCACTTTACTGGTTAATGTTATTTAATATTTCAGTACTGATGCTGAATCAAAGTAATTGTATGTGATTCAAAGGTCAAATGGAGACTTAGAAAATAGGTTGAGTGTTGTTTTATCACTTACTAGTTGTGTGACCTTAAGCAAATCAATTAACCATATTTTCTTAATCTGTAAAAATAAAATGTAAATTAGAGATAACTAAGTTAGGAGGATTAAAGGAAAGAATGTATGTGCAAAAGCCTAACATATAGCCCACAGCTATCAGTAGTTTTCTCTTTGTTTGTAAGAGTTCCCCATTTTTGTCCTTCATGTTACTGAGTCAACAGATTTACTAGGCCAATTGTGTAAGTATATTGTAATACATCAAGACAGTTTTTAGAGGATTGGATTTCACAATGTAATGCCCTTGGGAGCATTTTTAATTTTATAAAATGGCCTTTAAATTAGGAACTGTAAACTTGTATTTGCATGTTCAGAGCCTAAAGGGTTCAAGTTACTCTTGGGAGTTAGTATGTGTAGCCTAGAGTCAGGCCCAGTCTATGATTTTCCATGCCCCTGCTGGGTCTGTTGTAAGCATTCCACATTGTTTCACTGCTGCAAATTACTCCTTACCCTCACACTTCTCTCTTCTCCCCCTGGACTGCAGGAGGAGGCAAGCAGGACAGACAGGGTAGACAAGAGATGGGCCACCCAGCCTTCCCATCCCAACCATTTCATTCTTTCAGTTTATGTCAGCTTTGTGGAATGGGTAGGAGGACACCTCTTTCTTTCTTTGCCAATGTCCCTTCTTCTCACTTCTACCTTGTGAGTGAGTCTTAACTCTAAATCCTTACATCTGCTAGTTACTTCTTTATTGAGGTGCACAACATTGCTTCAACAGATACTACCTGGTGCTACTATGTGCTAGGACTTCCCACCACCAACATAGATCTTACAGGATGAGGGGACAGCAAAAATATAAAAACCTGGCTCCTTCAGGTAAAGGTTAGATAATGTTCTTAGTATCTAAATTGAAACAGTTCATTTCCTTGTAGAAATGATGCTGTCATTATGGGCCATTTCTGTCAGGTACTTCTCTGCCTGAAATGCCCGTTCCTTTTCATTTGATAACCTCTTCAATATTCAACTTTGTAATGTTCTCCTGAAAGTCAGGTCTACCCTAGCCAAGCCATCTCCCCCTACTCATGTTTCTGTCACTGATGGCATTTTACTGTGTTTGATAATATGTTTCTTCTACCAAACTGTTAATTCCCTGAGAGCAGAGATTATATTTTCTTTGCATATCTAGCCTTCAGAACAGTGGTAGACAACGTATTGAGCAAGTGCTCAATACATGTTTGTTAAAAGAGTGTAGTAGTCTTTTAAGTCCATTTTGAGCTGACCAAGAAAAGTATAAGTGTGAATTGTAATTAGGTACAGCTATATAGAGCACAAAACCCAAATAACATTAAAGCAGGTTGTTTCTCTCATGTTAAAAAAAAAAAAAAAAAAGACAGTCTGTGGTCTATACAGATGTAAAATTATTTCAGAAATATTTAAGTTCTATACCATTTTGGCATATAAACTATCCCAGCCATAATTTGGTTGAAAGTGGGCTTTTAATTTTTTCCAATTTTTGAGGGGTTTCCTATTTTACTTTTTTCTTCTATCCCTTCCTTCCCTCTTTCTCTTCTTTCTTTCTTTTCTGTCATAGTACATGCAAATATTCTTAAGCCAAATAAACTACTAGTCATGTTTACATTCAAGTGAATATTATCCATGGCTAAATTTCTAATGGTATCATCTTAAAACAGTTTGCTTTTCATGTAAAGTTTTTGTTTTTTATATATATATATACACACACACACACACACACACACACATACACACA